TGCAAAGAAACCCTGTCTTGAAAAATAAAAGCCAAAGGAAAAAATTAGATCTATTATTTATTTTTGTGTGTATGCATGTCTTGCCTAGTGTATGTATGTGAAGCATGTGCTCACTTGGCACTTGAGGTCAGCGGAGGCCTTGAATCTCCTGGAGCTGCAGTCAGGGGTGATCATGAGCTGCGGTGTGGGTTCTGGGAATCCAACCCAGGCCCTCTTGGAGACAAGTACTCCAAACTGCTGAGCCATCTCACTAGCCCTTATGTGAGCTTCAGATATCATAATGGGAGCAGGGGACAAAAGCCCTGCCTGGTGAAACAGTTCTGCTCCTGGTGTGACTTGAGTATTGTCTCAGCTCAGGTTCTGTCCAAGGGGGTCTGGAGAGGGGGACCAATAAGAAGATCTGCTCCTGGGCGTAGCATCCCCATCCTAGACTACTTCCATGTTTTAGAGGGGTTGGGTGATTACCAGGGAAGATGCTGTCACTGGAAGCTTTGTTTGAGAACCCAACATGACTGCCCTTTAGGAAAATGACTTTGTTTTGTGTCTTCTGCCTTGAAGAGGGCTGAGATAGGTCAGGTAAACCAACACCCCTTGAGTGGTTAATATGCCTCTGCAGAGTTAAGCAGATACAGGATGGAGGCAAAGATGTGCGAGGCTCTCATTTTGCTTTTAGTTCTCTCGTGGGCCAAAGTGAAGAGTTGATTGCCCCCCCCCAAAACAGCTTTTAAAATGCCGGTGGTGATGTGGCACCATTTGAACACATATCCTTAGGATAACTTCTTCTTTTTATTCCCTTTATTTATTTTTATTTTATATGCATTGGTGTTCTGCCTGCATGTACGTCTGTGTGAGGGTGTGTAAGGGTAGGTTTTTCTCCCACCACTGGTCTTGTCCTGCCGCCACGCCAGCCCCAATTAACACACAAAGACTCTGTATTTGATATAATGCTGTTGGCCAGGTACTAGTTTCTTATCTTCTAGCTCTGTCTTAAGTATTAACTCATTTCTGTTAATCTATGTACTTCCACGTGATCTTATCTTACCAGAGAGAGAGGTCGCCGGTTTTCTGCTCTCTCTGTCTTCCATCTTGACTTCTCCTTACTACTTCCTCTTTCCTCCTTGTCTCCTAGTCCCGCCTGTCTTGCTTTTCTATTGGCCAACAGTGCTTTATTCATTAACATTCATTAACCAGTATGAGAAACATATTTACAGAATGACATCTCCCATCAAGGGTGTCAGATCTTGGAGTCACAGACTCATGAGCTGCCATGTGGATGCTGGGAATTGAATCTGGGTCATCTGGAAGAACAGCCAGGGCTTTTAACCACTGAGCTGTGTCTTCAGCATCCCTCACCTCTTCTTCAAAGCTTTATCCTTATTATTTTTGTTTATGTGTATGTGTGTGTCCACATGTGGGTATGTACACATGATTACAGGTGCCTGTGGCTTTATGTATGGAATTATTTTTAGAAATATAAAAACAAACAAGCAAACTAACATGGCTGACATAGCTAGCCCCCACCTGATGAGAAGGCTGAGGCAGGAGGATCACTTGTGACAAGGAGTTCAAGACTAGCCTGGTTATGCCGGCTAGTTTTATGTCAAGTTGACACAAGCTAGAGTCATTTTGGAAGACAGAATCTCAACTGTGAAAATGCTCCAACTGGATTGGCCCCTGTGCAAGCCTCAGGTGTATTTTCTCGAGATTAATGAGTGATGTGGGCAGGTCCAGCTCATTGTGGGTGGTGCTACCCCTGGGTGGGGTGGTCCTACATGGTCTAAGAAAGCAGGTAGAAGCTAGGTGGTGGTGGTGCTTTGCCTTTAATCCCAGCACTCTGGAGGCAGAGGCAGTCGAATCTCTGTGAGTTCAAGACCAGCTTGGCCTACAAGAGCTAGTTCCAGGACACAACCTCCAAAGCCACAGAGAAACCCTGTCTCAAAAAGACAAAAAAAAAAAAAAAAAAAAAAAAAGCAAGCAAGCAGGTTGAGCAAGCCAGGAGAGATCAAGCCAGTAAACAGTACTTGTCCATGGCCCTGGGTAAGCTCCTGCCTCCAGGTTCCTGCCCTGTTTGAGTTCCTGCTTTGACTTCCCCTTAATGACGACTGTGCTGTGAAACTGTAAGCTGAAATAAACCGTTTACTCCCCATGTTGTTTTTGGGTACAGTGTTTATCACGGCTATAGAAACCCTGAGAGACCTGGGCAATATAGAAAATATCAAATCATTTATTTAGTTATTGAGATGATCTAACTACATACCTCATCCATTATGTACATGAGGCTGGCCTGGAACTCCAAGAGATCTGCCTATCTCTGCTTCTCAAGTGCTGGAAGTGAAGGCTAGTCTTGGACTCCTGCCCTAGCATTCCTAGTAGCTAGGGGACTATCTGTGTCAGCTATAACCCCCATTACTGTTTTCAGGCTTTTGTGATTTGCTTTTTATTTATTTATTTGTTTGTTCGTCTATATGAAGACTCTGCATGAATGACTGCAGGCCATAAGAAGGCATTGGATCCTATTATACATGGTTGTGAGATGCCATGTGGTTGCTGGGAATTGAACTCAGAATTCTTGGAAGAGCAGCCATCTCCCTAACCCCCGAATTTTATGTGTATGGATATTTTTGTTTTGTATGTTTGTTTGTTTTCAAGACAGCCCTGGCTGTCCTGGAACTCACTCTGTAGACCAGGCTGGCCTTGAACTCACATGAATCGACCTGCCTCTGCCTCTGAAGTGCTGGGACTAAAGGGGTGCACTTTCACAGGTATGTACTGCATTTACATAATTTATCCCCCACCCTCTTCCCCCTCCAACTCTTGTCTTCTCACTCCCTCTGAAATAGGACCTCTTATTTAATTATTGTTTTTAAACATACAGGCACACACATGTACATATATAAATATAGCCTTCCAAGTCCCTTTAGTATCGCTCTGTGTATTTAGTGGTGACTATTTGGATAACCTATCTTCTCACTGGAGAAGGCAAATTCTCCCTTTCAGCCGCCATTCATTGCCTGTAACTCTTCATTTAGGAGAGGGGCCCCATCCATGTTGGGGGGTAAACTGGTGCTGTCATTTTGTAGGTCTTGTTTAGGTCATGGATATTTCGTGGGTGTAGCTTCCTTGTTTTATATAGAAGATATCCTGGTTCTCTTTTTTCTCACTCTCTCTCTCTCTCTTTTTCTCGAGACAGGGTTTCTCTGCATTGCTTTGAAGCCTGTCCTGGAACTCACTCTATAGACCAGGCTGGCCTTGAACTCACAGAGATCTGCTCTGCCTCTGCCTCCCGAGAGCTGGGATTAAAGGCTTGCACCACCACTCCTGGCCTCTCTCTTCTCTTATAATCTCCCAGCTTCCACTTTTTTAAAATCATGGGTGTCTCTATATGCAGTCCTGGCTGGCCTGGAACTCTCTATATAGACCAACTTGGTCTTGAATTTGGATTGATCCGCCTCAGTGCTGGGATTACTGGCCTTATTCTTTATTTTAAAAAAAATCCTCCGGGAGGCAGAAGCAGGAGGATCTTTGAGTTCAAGACCAGCCTGGTCTACATAAGGACTAAACACTTTTTTTTTTTTTTTTTTTAACATTTATTTAATCTGGGAGGCATGGATGTTACAGTATGGAGGTCAGAGGACAGTTTTCTGGAGCCCTTTTCTATTATGTGGGTCCCCGAACTGGAGCTAGGGTCAGGCTTGGCAGCAAATGCCTTTCTTTATCTGCTGAACCATTTCACTGACTTCCCAGGGGGCACACACCTTTAATCCCAGCACTCGGGAGGCAGAGGCAGGAGAAACTGTTTGAGGCCAGCCTTGGCTACAGAGTGAGTTCCAGGACAGCCAGAGAAACCTGTCTTGAGAAACCATAAAAAAGGTGGACACACACACACACGGTCTTACGTAGTCCAAGCAGCTAATTTAGGATTTACACACACACACACACACACACACACACACACACACACACACACACGGTCTTACACACACACACACGCTTACGTAGTCCAAGCAGCAAATTTAGGATTTACACACACACACAGTCTTACACACACACACACACACACACACACACACACACACACACGGTCTTACGTAGTCCAAGCTAATTTAGGATTTCGGGAACTTGGTCTCACATAGCCCAAGCTAACCTAGGATTTCGGGAACTTCTGATGCTCCCGCCTTCTGCTTTCCTCCTGTTGGGTTTGCAGGCATGCGCAAGCATTACCATGACTGGCTCATTGCTATTTTTAGGTGGATACTACTTTCTGAGGCATAGGAATTGCAGTAAAGAAAGCTCAGAACTTCCCCTTTTGGAATTTGGTTTCTGGGCCAAACTTCCAAACAATAGCGACAGTATTTTGATTTGTAGCTGAAGTTGCTGGGTCTGGAGGCGCAGGACTCTATCCTTTAAGAGCAATGATGCCCAGGGGACAAGCTTTAACCCGGGAGAACAAGTTTCTGCCCCTAAGGACGTGAGGACTCCATGAGCCATGCTCCTCCTGGTCCTGTTGGAACCTTAGGAACATCCCTTAGGGTTCATGCGACTCAATCTTCGCTTCAACAAAATGGGAACGGTAGTCTTAATGCCCCACAACATCAGGAAGGCTTTTGAGGACTCAGTTCCGGGTATGGAGGGAGAAAGCTGGCCATAGGGGGGAAGGAGCCCCACCCCTCCCACCACGTGGAGTGCCCTCCTCGCCTGCAGTGAGGCCTCAGGGCGATTCCGGAGCTCCAGGCGTGGCGGAGGCGGGGCAGGGGCTGGGGCCATACTTCGGTGAGGAGAGAGCCAATACCTCCCTGTGCACGGACCCTGCGGAGGGGCGCGGCCTGGCTCTCTAGTCCCTCGGCTCCCCCGCCAGCCCGGAGGGGAAAGAGGACGGCCAGGGGCGGGGCACGGAGGCGTGGCCTCCGGTTTTTTTTTTTTTTTTTTTGTCCGCCTAGATAAGGAAAGGTTCCCCTGCGCCTTTAAGAGGTAGACGCAGGCATCCGATTGGCTGAGACGAGCTGTAACATCTTGAGAGGCCGGCGCCGGCGCCCTCCCCCTCGGGCGGTGCGTTCCCGGGCAGTCTGTGCGAGGGCCGGGCCCGACCGACCGGCGGCCTCTCGGTCCCCTCGTCCTCTCCGCTCCAGGTCGTCCCGGCTCCCGGGGGATGCCCCGGACCAGGTCCTCTTCATGGCTGCCGACGTTTTCATGTGTTCGCCGCGTCGGCCCCGCAGTCGGGGCCGCTCGGTGCTGCTCAAGCCTCAGGTGCCGGAGGACGACGACGACTCGGACACAGACGAGCCGTCTCCGCCGCCCCCCTCCGGCGTGGCCGCCTCGGCCCGGGCCCACGCCAGTGCCGTGCCGCTGCCACCCCGGGCCGGACCGGGCCGCGAGGAGCCTCCGCGCCGACAGCAGATCATCCACAGCGGCCACTTCATGGTGTCCTCTCCGCACCGCGAGCACCCGCCCAAGAAAGGCTATGATTTCGACACGGTCAACAAGCAGACGTGCCAGACCTATAGTTTCGGCAAGACCAGCTCCTGCCATCTGTCCATTGATGCTTCGCTCACCAAGCTCTTCGAGTGCATGACCCTGGCCTACAGGTAGGGACCCGGTGACGCCCCCCCCCACTCCTGGACCTGGCCGAGCCCCCCATCTTCACTCCAGCTTCTCTTTGACAAAACCATCGTGGCCATTTGACTTCACGCTGTCCCTTTGGGGGCTGCTTCTAGGTGGATTTGTGGGTCTGGGGTCGCCACAGTTGGGAGAGGTGCTAGGATTCTGGCCTGAAGCCCAGGTGGCAGTGTCTGGGTTCTTCCGGCTTCGTGTTCCCCATCCAGACCCTCCCCACCTCTGGTGGTGCCCATGGGTGCGGTTTTGGACAAGAATTAGGTGTAGCTGCAGTTTGCGTGTTGTTTTGCCTGGCTCTGTGGACCCCTTCCCTGTACAGCTTTGTGTGTTACCAGCACCACCCAACGGTTAAGATCACCTGTCCAGGGTGTCTAGGGCGCTGGCTGCACTAAATGATTGTGTAACTAACGCCTTGGAGCCTATTTCCTCGTTTGTAAAGAGGGGGTGTCAGTAGTGTCGACCTCCAGAGGGCTGTTCCAGGGATGAATTGAGATAGGTGGAGTATGTATTAGGCACTCCTTAAATGTTAGTGACTTTTCCTGATTGTCTGTGCGTCTGGAGTCTGCTGGGAAGTTCTGAGGCAGGGCTCCTTGATGCCCTTAGGAGGACTTGTGGAGCTCTAGCTGGAGGAGGTGGCAAATTGGAAGTTTTTTCTGTTTTTCTTTCTAAGCCAGGGTCTCTTGTAGCCCAGGCGCCTCTCAAACTTACTTTTGTAGTAGAGTCTGGCCTTGAACTCCTGGCCTTACTGCCTCCACTTCCCAAGTTCTGGGATCATAAACAAATGCCTCCCTTGCCCAGGTCTAGCTAGAGGGTTTTCTGGTTGGCCCTAACATGATGTATGTGTGAGGTGTTAGTTTATAAGGCTTTATGAGGTTTCAGACACTGTCCTGAAACAGGAATTCAGCCTTGGACAGAGATCTCATCTTTGAAAGTCATAGAAACTTTCCCTGGAGGGCTTGCCTCTCTTTCCACCCCCTCACTCTTCCTTCGTGTGTCTGTTAGTGTGCCTCAGCCACAGGCCTTCTCTGAACTCCAGCTAGTGGCTGGAGCAGCCCAGTGTGTAACAGCTTCTGTTGGGGTCCTGGCTGATTGGCCTCCTGCTTTAGGAACTGTATTAGCTTAGGCTTTGAGTCCTGCACAGATGGTAGCACAGGGAAAGTTTCCCAGGTAACTCCAGAGACCGTGGAAGGAAGAGTCGGGATATTTCCAGTCCTCCTGCTTTAAGCTTCCCAAGTCATGAGGTTACAGGCTTGTGCTGCCATGCCGTGGCCAGCCAGCCCTGTTTCAGTTTTGATTTTTAAATTAATTTTTAAAGTTAGCCTGCAAAATAGTAGGTTTAGTATGACATTTTTTCATACATAAGTATCACACTGTATGGTTTTTATTGTTTTGGTTTTTGAGATTGATCATGCTTTGGGAGGCTGGTTTTTTAAATTCATGGATTCAAGCAACTCTTCCACCTCTTTCTCTCTCTCCCCTTCTCCCCTCCTTTCCCCACAATCTCTTTCTCTCTCTCAGGGAGGTAGATAATGAGCCAGTTAAATCCAAATTAAAAGCTTTACTCAATTGCCTGAAGTTAAAATACTAGATAGTTGGCTCTGGATGGCTTTTTCCCCTCTGGAATAAATGATTAGTCAACTCGGTTCCTTTGTTTTGTTTCTGAAATGCACCCTCACCCCTATTTCCTCTTGTGGAGGTTTCCCTGATGGCTCATTCCTGTAACATGGCTCTTCCTTCTATCACCCTTACCGGGCACATTGGCCAGTCTGTGCTCTGACTCTTAGATCTTGCCAGTTTGGGCTGGCACTAAGCCTGTGAAGACAGTCTGTTTTTAAACATGACAGTGAAGTTGCAGTCCTGTGCACCCTCCGTCTCTAATTTTGAGCGCTTATATTGGAATCAGACTCAATTAGATTACCGCGCAAGCTATTCTTTGAGGAAGGTTTATCAAACAAAACCAGAGGCAAAAGACAGGAATGTGTTTATTAAGGGAACATAATCCTCTTTTTTTTTAAACTTTAATATAAACTTCTGCGTGTATAGGGAGAGCAAGCTGCTGGAGCCATTGGAGGCTTGGGCTAGAAAGTTCTCACTTAGTAAGCTCTGCCAAAGGAAAACTAATAAGCCAGCCTCCCTTTGTGCTCTATGTGGATAACCTAAAGGGTTATTAAATAGCACCAACAGAGTAATCCCACCTCCCATTTCTTTCAGAAATATTTTGGCACCTGGCCATTAACCGAATTAATTTTTTGATTGCAAAATGTACCCCTGGTTTGGCGCAAGCACTCCAGCCTCATGGTCTCACCTGCTTTTGTTGGCGTTGCTCACGCCTAGCCTGGCTAGTACCCCTTGTGTCTAGCGCTAGTACCTAGGCTTACCACCAAAGGTCCCTGGATGGGTATCTGCTGTTAACACCCTAGGAAGATGTTCTTTGTGTCCAGATGAGGCTGATGTGGCCTTCACTGACTTTTGTTGGCAGCATGGACATTTGGTACAGATTAACTGAGAAGCTAGAGAAAACTGGGTTTCTGAATTCAGCTTACCTGTCTTGACTACCAGCTGCTTTCGGAGGGAGAAGTAAGCTCCCAGTGGGGAGGAGAGCAGACCGGGTTCAGAGTGCTTTGGCTTGCCCTTGCATGGGGTCAGAGCCTTCACTTCTTGTCCAGGTTTCTTCTGCTTGGCCTGGGAGGAAGGCCAGCTGGGTCTTCTGTGTGACTGTTTCTGGCCTAGATTCTTTCTAACTCTAGCTTGCAGCCTGTTCCATGGGCTCTTGGTTCTACTGCCTAACTCTCTGGTACACTCTGTGCTTTTCTTTTCTTTTTTGTTTTGTTTGGTTTCCTGTTAACTGCTGCCTCCCAGCTGTGTCCAGATGAGGCTCAATAACTTCTTGGAGTAGGAACCAAGTGCAGGGGAAGTTAGGGTTATTTTCACCCAATCCTGAGTGGTGGTCTAGGAATCATGAACCCAAGCAAGGGCTTTTTTACTATTTTGGAACTGGATTTGGATTTGTTTTGTAGTTCAGGCTGGCCTGAAACTTACTGAAATCCTCCTGCCTCTGCCTTCTAGTGCTAGGATTACAGAGGTAGCTGAACCTGTTGACCAAACTCTGGTGATGTGGTAGATTTTGGGGTACTGGGAACAGTGAATATGTTCATTGCCCTGCTCCTTAAGTGGTCATAAAGTGGGGTCCCAGTTTCCTCAGGGCAAGCTTTTAAAACCCGTGTCCTTCCCACTCTGGTAAGTAGCCCTGTGGGGAAGCACCTTGGTTTGGTTCTAATGCATGTGTTCAGTCATCTTGGAGGGAAAGAAATTGTCTCTCTTGAAGGCAGAGTTATGTGACAGATGACAGGGGAGAGCAGCCTGTCTTTCTTTTCTTAAGCTTCCCTGTCATTGCTCTAGAATGAAGTGGATAAACTTCCCTGCAGGGTGGAACTGAGGATTAACTGTGATAATGTCTGTGACTGTGTCTGGCACCTGGCAGATTGCAGGTGAAGGGAGGTTTATAAAATTGAGTGTAAAGGGTGGATAATGTAGAATTTTTAACACTGTCTATCCGATGGTTGAGCTAGGCTGGTGGTATATAACCTCAGTCACAACATATGGAAGGCTAAGAAGGAACGTCATGAGTTCAAGGCCAGCCTGGGCTGTCCAGGGCCACCCTGTCTCCAAACAAGCACACACACACAGACACTACCCTCTGTCACGACTGAAGTTTCTCATCTATAAACTGAAGAAAACAGTGTCTTATTGGATTCTTTCAGTGAAGCTGTCAGAGGCCTGCCCAACAAATACTACATAGAAGCATTCTTGGTTTGACTGGGTCTATCCAAGGCCTGTGTAGTGGAGATACCCTTTTGCACACAGGTCATGGTTCTTGCCCTTTTAACATTTTAAGGAATGTCATGCATTTATACCCCCCATACAGACCCTGAACATGTCTAGTGTGTAGCTTGTTGTGGTTGGTTTTGGTTTCACTTCTCTTTTTTATTAACTTCTTTTGGTATCTATCAGATGGTAGCAAGTGGTCTTTTGAAAAATTTTATTATATTTATTTAGTGTGTATGTTGAGATCAGAGGGTGACGTTAAGTAAGTTTTCTCCTTCCATTATATAAATGCCAGGTATCAGACTCAGTGTCAGGCTTGGCAGCAAGCACCTTTTATCTGCAGAACCCTTTTGCTGGACCTAGAGGTGGTCTTTCTTGTATTTAGGCATAAGTAGTAGTGTTTTTGGCAAATGATATTTAAGTGGATATTGAAGAGACGTTTTTCTTTTTAAACATTTATTTTGAGTGTGTGTGTGTGTGTGTGTGTTTAGGTCAGATAACAACTGCTGAGAACAGGAGCTGAGTTCTCTCTGTCTACCACATTGTCAGAGTTTTCAAACCCTCAGAGTCATCTTGCCAGTCTTAAGATTTTTAAATTAGGAGCTGTTAGGTATGTTAGTATATTTAGCTGTTAGGATATGTTTTCAGGATGTAGCTTCCATGTATGTGCCTTGTGTGGTAATTGTTCATGGCCCAGGTTGGAAAGCTATGCCAGACTTGAGGAACAGCAAGGACTAAAGACTTAGGCCCACCATTTCCTACAAATTTTAGGTATCCGGTAGAGAAATTTTTCCTTTTCTTTTTGAGGTCTCATATATACCAGGCTAGCCTTGAACTAATGTAGCTTAGGAGGAAAAAAGGAACCATCTTTTTTTTTTCTTTCCTGTGTGTGTGTGTGTGTGTGTGTGTGTGTTTGCACGTGCGCACATATGCATACAAGTGTTTGAGTACATGTTGGTGTGTGTGGCTGCCAGTATACTTGTGCTGTGGTTCATATGTGGAAGTCAGAGACAACTTCTGATGTCTGTCCCTTGTCTTCTATCTTGTTTAAGACAGGGTTTCTTGTTTGTCACTAAATACAACAGGCTAACTGGCTTTTGAGCTACTGGAGATTTTCTGGACTCCACTGTAGGGTACTAGGATTATT